TTTGATCCGTTAACCATCCGAAACTCACCCGAGGCCCTCGGGACCTCAACCAAAATATACCAACAAGTCCTAAAACATCATACGAACTTAGTCGAATCCTCAAATCACCTCAAACAATGCTAAAACCATGAATTACACCCCAATTCAAGCATAATGAACTTTGAAATTTTTAATTTCTACAAACAACTCCGGAACATACCAAATCACGTCCGATTGACCTCAAATTTTGCACACAAGTCCTAAATAACATGACACAGGTATTTCAATTTTCAGAATCGGATTCCGACCCCGATATCAAAAAGTCACCCCCTCGGTCAAACTTCTCAAAAATTAAACTTTTGGCATTTCAAGCCTAATTTCTCTACGGACCTCCAAATAATATTTCGCACACGCTCCTAATCCCAAAATCACCATACGAAATTATTGGAATTATTAGAATTCGAATCCGAGATCGTTTACATATAGGTCTATATCCGGTCCACTTTTCTTACTCAATTTTTTAATTATGAGATTAAGTGTCTCATTTCACTCCGAGTTCCTTTCGGACTCGAACCCACTAACCCGATATAACACAATATAGCTGAATAACACCAAAAAGAAGTAGGAATGGGGAAAACGGGGTTATAACTCTCGAAACGACCGACCGGATCGTTATAACGTACCCAGTAAGTATCCCGCCTAACCTCGAAGAAGTAGTGACGAGGGGTCGACTTCGACACTTACTATGGGCTATAAATAAAATATCAATGATATGATTAGGCATGGATTACTTAGAACGACTGTAAGCTCAATGTCATGAAATAAGTAAACAATTCTTTTGTTCATAAGAAATTTTCAAATTTATTTTTCATTATTTAACAATTTATCTCAGGCCAAGGAGGCAATATCATTTATTGTAAATTCCAAAGCAATCAAGTTCAATCATGCGCAAATCATGCCGAGGTCGTATGACTCGCTCCAATATAAATATTTAAACTGTGCATTGCCGAGATTCGAACGACGCGAACCATAGATGCATCTATTTAATCTGCCGAGGCGTTCGACCCGCTCTACAAAAGATAAACACATTCAACAGTCAATCAAGAATTCTTTAAGGAGCAATTATCTAAGGAAATGTCAATTCTCATTTAACGGTCAAGAAAAATAAAGTTTAACCTTTTAAAAATTCATTTACCAAGTTCAATATGATTTAAGAAATTTAAATTAACAATAAGGTTGCAAATATCGCAAGTATAGCATGATTTGGGTCATAGATTATCCGGACTTAGCATAATAGTAGCTACGCACGGACTCTCGCCACCCCGTGCATATGCAGCCTCCACAAATAGAAGCACATATCGTATTATTTCACCTATGGGGTTATTTCCCTCTTACAAGGTTAGAAAGGAGACTTACCTCGCTCCGGAATTCCATAACCGGCTCCCAAGGCCTTCCGAAAACTCAAACTGACGCTCAACGCTCTAAAACTAGTCAAAAATTGAGAAATTCCATAAATATATACTTAAATACTCATTATAATCCTATTTACAACAATTTTCAACTCCGTTCGAAAAGTCAATAAAAACCACCCTCGGGCCCACGTGCCCGGATTTCGAAAATTTCGAAGATAAACTTTACTCATAAACCCACAAACTCAAATATATAATTTATTTTCAATTCAATGCCCAAATTTGTGGTCAAAATCCAAAAATATTAAATTCTAGGTTTTCTACCAAAATCCACAATTTCTACTAATTTCATGCTTAAATCCTCATAGAATCTATGTATTTAACTTATAATAAGTGGGAATCACTTACCTTGTGTTGCTTGATGAAAATCTCCCTTTGGAGCTCTCCAATATCGCCCCAACCAAGAGAGAAATGAGAGAAGACGAGCCAAATATCGCTCTTAAAACCATTCTGCCCAGCACCATTTCCGTATATACGGAACAGTAACCACACATGCGGCTTCGCAGGTGCAAGAACCCTTCCACTTCTGCGCCTTCTTCCGCTTCTGTGCCTTCTTCCGCTTCTGCGCTCAACCCTTCGCTTATGTGCTTGCGCATATGTGGCCAAAACTCCGCACCTGCGGTCCTTCACCTGGGCGACCTGCTCCGCTTCTGTAGCTCTTATGTCGCTTCTGCGCCCTCCGCACCTGCGGCCAATACCTCGCAGGTGCGGTTACACCAAATGACAGCATCCCTCAGCCCTTCTTCCAAGTCCCAACTCGATCTGTTTACCATCCAGATTCCACCCGAGGCCATTGGGACCTCAACCGATTATACCAACACGTCCCAAAACACATTACGAACTCAGTCGAGCCTTCAAATCACATCATACAACATCGAAATAACAAATCGCAACCCAATTCACTTAATGAACTTAAAAACTTCCAACTTCTATATTCGATGCTGAAACCTATCAGATCACGTCCGATTGGCCTCAAATTTTGCACACAAGTCATAATTTACATTATGGACCTACTCTAACTTTCGGAATCGGAATCCGACCCTAATATAAAAAAAAGTCCACTCCCTGCCAAGCTTCTCAAAAACCTTCAAATTTTTAACTTTTGCCAAATGACCCTGAAATGACCTACGGGCCTCCAAATCTACATCCGGACGTGCTCCTAATACCAGAATCACCATACGGAGCTATTCCCAGACTCGGAATCCCAAACGGACATCAATAACATTGAAATGCACTTCAACCCATTTATGAAATTCTTCCAAAAATGCTAACTTCCATAATAGGCGCTGAAATGCTCCCGGGTCATCCGAAACCCGATCTGGACATATGCCCAAGTCCAAAATCATCATACGAACCTGTTGGAACCTTCAAATCCTGATTCCGAGGTCGTTTACTCAAAAATCACACCTTAGTAAATTCTTCCAACTTAAGACTTCTGAAATGAGAGTTTTCTTTCCAAATCAACTCCGAACTTCCCGAAATTCAATTCCGACCACACGTACAAGTCATAATACCTGAAGTAAAGTTGCTCGGGGTCTCAAACCGCTGAATGACGCGCTAGAGCTCAAAACGACCGGTCGGGTCATTATATATTGTTATAATTAGTTATATACATTTGAATTAGTTATTATATACCAATATAACATATAGTATAACATGTTGGTATACAATACAACTTTGTCTTCTTTGCTAGTTCAACTTAATTTTGGCCGAAATTCCAAAAATCTACTCCAAAAATATCCACCAAATTTACTCAAAATTTAGCCATAACCTTCAATCAACATTTGGAACATAACTTAGTACAAATCTAATAAAAAACAACTATAATGTGAGATTTTCTCTATTATTTTCGTGGAACTCCATCGAATAATTCATTTAAAAAAATATTTGCAAGGACCTAGTTGGAAAATTTTTAAAAAATTACAAAATAACTTATTTATTACCGTATACTTTTATATTAAATCGTACACTATAACAATATAATATTTCTATAACCATGACTTTAGCTTTTCGCAATAACATCTGGATGATTCAATAAAATAGCAATTGAAGTATACTATTATGGTATATTGTATACTATTACAACATATTGTTGCAATATATTGCATATTATTACAATATGGCGTTACAGTATATTGTATACTATAACAATATACTATTGCAGTATAGCTATATACTCCTACGATATATTGTATACCAAAGCAGTATACTGTTAGGTAACCGTGTTCTTCTTCGATTATTACAATATACCGCTGTAGTATATTGTATACTATAACAGCATACTTTTTCAATATAGATATATACTCCTACAACATATTTTATACCGTAGCGGTATACTGTCGGGTAACTATGCTCTTCTTCGATTTTTAGCTAAAAATTAGATCTCAATCACCTCAAATCAACTCCAAATGCGATCAAATTTCAGTATGAACTCCCAGAAGGTACTATAAGCAATATTAAATAATACCCACTTTTAATCAAACAATAAGTCTTCAAAGTAAAAATTTTAAATTCAAGAGCTTCAAGCCCAACAATGGTAGATATTCAAATACACATAGAAATTCAGATTTGGAAAGCTTACTCGAAGGTACTATAAGCAATATACACCCACTTCAAATCTAATATTAGAATCTTCAAGTTGAGAAATCATAAATTTGGAATTTTGAAAAAAGACTAAGAAAATCTGTAAAATTTTAATTTCAGCAAAAAACACAAAAGTGCAAAATTCGAGCAAGCATGAGATTTTGACAGAAAAGTGATGAGGTTACATGAAAAATATCGGCGTCAACTGAATTTCATAGTCTATTAAAATAAAAAGCTCTGGGATTTTGCACTATGTATTCCACTAGATCTGAGAAAACAAATCAAAAGGCAAAAAAGAATAGGTAGGCTATGTAAAATGTTTCGCCCGAATAGGTAGTTGTTGTAACAAACTTTCATATGGGTAATTACGGATAATTATTTTGTAAAAATAGCACGGGCTAGCCAGTTTTCGGACTGGTAATTAAAAAGTAGCCAGCGTTTGCAAAGTCATTGAAAAATAGCCAGCGTTTGCAAAGTCATTCAAAAATAGCCATTATTTTGCTGCAACACGGAAAGTTCCAGCATAATATACTGGAGATTGGTACACCTGTATATGAACTTCCAGCATATTATGCTGGAAATCCAGGACACAGAAAGTTACAGCATAATATACCGGAGATTGGAGCACGTGTGTATGAACATCCTAACATATTATGCCAGACCAGTATATTATGCTGGAACTCCATTATACTATGCTGGAAGTTCACATGTAAAACATTCGAACTCTAATATATTATGCTGGAATATTTTTCATATTTTGAATAGTGTTTTTCGTTCAAATTTATCTTTACATAAAAATTAACTTAATTTTAATTACTTTTGAAATTACGGCTATTTTTCAATTATAAATCTGCCTATTTTTTGAACTTCACCCAATTATTTTGGGTTGTGTTGGTATTTAGTATAGATTTCCCGATTTATAAGTCGGATTAGAACCTTCGACTTTACTGATGATACGTGCATTTTTCAATTGCAATCTATATATATAACGGAAACGACATTTCTCCATCAAACTTTCTTTACTTTCTGCGGCAACAATATGATCGAACTAACTCTGAAACTGAAAGCTTAGGATCTTTGATCTATCAAAAAATTAGTTCAACTTTTTCTCCATAGCATTGCATCGGATTGGTACATAGGATATTTTTGACAATTCATATAAGCGTTTGAATGAACAATGGATCCCCAGGAAGGAGGATCGGAGAGAGATAAGGCAAAATCTACGACTTCTTCTACTCCTCTCGCCGCTGTCTCTACCTACTGGAGAGGTACATTTTTCCGATGCAATTATCCCCTAATCTCCTTTTATTTATGATGCATATCATCGGCTCTAGGTTTTGCTGTTGATTATCGTCAAATTAATTTCACTTTGGATTAGTTCACTTCGCACTTGTCTTATGAAATTAATTTAACACTAGTCAAGAGAAAGTTCGCGTTTCTTCTCTTAAAATCAGTAGTTCACTTGATATACTACTCGGATTTTTAGCTACTGTTCCACTCAAGTTCACTTGCTATTTGCTGTAAAATGTCGGAACAGAGAGATGGAGTGAGAGAAGCGAAAAAACCTAAGTTTCCTAGGCAGCTTTGGATTGCTAATGATGAAGTGAATTTTTATAATACTCGGGATTTTTGGCTGCTTTTCACTCAAGCTCCTTTGCAATTCGCAGTAGAATGTTGGAACAGAGAGATAGAAAGAGAGAGGGAAAAAACTCAGGTGCTTAGTTAGATTTTGGATTGCTGGTGATGAAATGAATTCATTGAAGCAAAATGTTCACTTTGCTTTTGTATGTTTCATTCTGATTTCCATGATGTAGTTCTTTACATATTTGTGCCTCTAGTGCAGTACTTTATTTTTCAAATGATTGCTTTGTGTGTAATCATTTGAGTAACATGGTTAGTGAGGATTTATATAGCCGACTCCAATTTTTTTTGGGGCTGAGGCTTAGTTTTTGATGTATTGTTATGTGTAATGATATTCATTGCATACTATTCTTAATTTGGTCTAAGAGAAGATAAAGTTGAAGATACATTTTAAGCATATTGGTTTTCGTTTTCAACAAAAAAAAACAAATTTTACAGACTTTGATTTAGAGAAAGAAAGGAGTATACTGGATGAACAAGGTCTTAGAATTGCTGAAAATCAAGATATCAGTCAGAAGAACCGCCGGAAACTTGCGGAGAGCACTCGAGGTACTAAACATGCATTTCCATTGAGTTGATACTGCACTACCATTATAAATCGTTATAATTACTTTGTACTTCTTTTGTTTGTGTAAAACATGTTCGTGCACCTCTTGGCAGACTTTAAAAAGGCTTCAAAAGAAGACAAGTTGAGCTTATTTAACTCTTTGCTCAAGGGTTATCAAGAAGAGGTTGACAATCTTACAAAGAGAGCAAAATATGGGGAAAATGCTTTTCTTAACATTTATCAGAAACTTTATGAGGCACCAGATCCCTACCCGATTATTGCTTCTAGTGCTGTAAGTACGATGCTGGCTTTATAATCACTTATCCCTTGCTTGCGCAAATGAAAAACTTCATGCTCATGAAAGAACTCCTAGAGTTTGTTGATCAATCTTTGAAACAATATATTGTTAGAGCTTGTACTGGTGCTCGCTGCTGGCCACTAAAAATGGCTAGATTGAGCTAAAATTATTTAAGTTATTGTCACATGGCATTTTGCAGTGAGTGGATTAGTGGTCCGTGATTTTGGATTCTCAAGATACTAAATTGTAGGCTGGTTATATGTTTCCATTTTAGATTAGCAACTAAACTGTAGCTGCTAAGTATGTGTAGGAAGAGGATTTGCGACTATCTTATTGCGCAAACCTTTTCAGTGGCATAACAATCATGTCGAGTGGGGCTTGGGATGCTGAAGTATTTCTGGTGGTTAACATTTTTTTTTTTTTTGATAAGTTAATGTATTTCATAGAAAGCATCAAGAAGATGCAGAATTCAGAATTTACAAAGCAAAGGAATAGAGAAAAAAGAAGAAGACAGTGTTAGCTCTATTACAAAAGGCCTAATCTCAAGTCAAGGAGATAACAAAGTCCAAAAAAGATTCAGGGGAGTTGACAGGGGAGAGATTACTCCAACTACAAAGACTTGTTAAACATCTAGCCTTAAGAACGTAATTTGGGGTAGTAATGCCTTCAAAGCATCTAGTATTTCTTTCTGTCCAGATACACCAGAAAATGCAAGCAGGGATCATCTTCCAAACTTTCCTGATGGATTTCCCAACCTTCCATGAGCTCCAGCTAACAAGGGCATCTTTAACACTCTCAGGCATAACCCATTTAAGACCAAAAGCTGAGATGAACATGTTCCATACATCTGCAACAGCTGTACAATGTAAAAAAAGATGTCTATTGGTCTCTAAGGCATGTTGACACATGTAGCATCTGTTGACTGTGTGGATGCTTCTTCTGCTAAGATTGTCTTGAGTGAGCGATGCTTCACAGAGGGCTATCCAACTAAAGCAAATCACCTTTGGAGGTAGTTTAGTTTTCCAAATTAATTTCCTTGGCCAATCGATTAAAAATTCATTTTGAGTACATTGCATGTAGTAGTGTGCATTCACAAAGTACTTACCATCGGCTTTATTCCCCCAAATGAGTTTGTCCGATGCCCGATCATCAATTAAGACTGTCCCTAGTCTTTCCAGTAGGTTGAGAAGATCTTGCAGCTCCCAAGCTTGTATGTTCCTCCTGAACAAAGGATTCCGGGAATAATCAACTCTGTTTTGTGAAATGGTTGACTGTTTACTTGAGGATATTGAATAGAGGTTCGGAAAATCAGCTTGCAATGTTGAGTCCCCCAGCCATTTATCTTCCCAGAACCTTATTTTTGCTCCATTGCCTACCTTAAACTTGCATTGGTGATAAAACTCCTCCCCTAGCTTGCTGATATACTTCCAAGGTCCTACTCCATATGGTGATCTAGCAACCTTGGTACTCCAGTGATTTTTATTGCCATGTTTTGCAGTTACCACCTCCTTCCAAAGTGCGTGATCCTCTTGTGAATATCTCCACAACCATTTCATAAGCATGCTCTTATTATGGACCGGGAGATCTCTAATTCCCAGGCCACCTTGTGACTTTGGTAGTGTTACTTTTTTCCAATTAACCAAGTGTAATTTATGAGTTTTGCTTCTTCCTTCCCGAAGAAAATTCCTCCTGTATTTGTCTATCTGCTTCAGCACCTTTCCGGGGATGGGAAATAAAGACATAAGATAGGTGGGAAGGCTATCCAATACACTGTTGATGAGTGTGAGTCTCCCTCCCATGGAAAGGTATTGCATTTGCCAGTTAGCTAGTCTTCTTTCAATTTTTTCAGTGACTCCACTCCATATATCATATGATTTGAACTTTGCTTCCAGCGGAAGCCCCAGATACGTAGTTGGCAGTGTGCCAGTACTACAGCATAGAATGTCAGCCAGGCCCTCTAGATTAAAAACATCACTGACAGGATAAATGACACTCTTTATCATATTAATGTGTAAACCTGAAAGAGCTTCAAAAATAAGCAAGGTCATATTTAAATGCAGCACTTGAGATTCTTCAGCCCCACAAAAAATTAGGGTGTCATCTGCATATAGCAGATGTGAGACAGTCACTCTATTCCCAGACCTGCTACCAACTTCAAACCCTTTGAACCATTGTAGATTCCTGGCTTTGTTTAGCATGTTACAGAGACCTTCCATGGCAATGATGAAGAGAAAAGGTGAGAGAGGATCCCCCTGTCTAAGACCCTTTTGAGGAGAGAAGAAGCCGACTGGGCTTGAATTAACCAAGACAGAGTACTTCACGGTGGTAGTGCAGAACTTAATCCATTTAATCCATTTGTTTCCAAAACCCATTTTCCTCAGCATCATAAAGAGAAAATTCCAGTTTAGCTGGTCAAAAGCTTTCTCTATATCCAGTTTGCATAAGAGACCCGCTTCCCCTGATTTAAGTTTCCAATCCAGAATCTCATTAGCAACTAGAGATGCATCTGTAATCTGCCTTCCTTTAATGAAAGCATTTTGTTGCCCAGAAATAAATGTCCAAATGACTTTCTTCAGTCTTTCAGCAAGCAACTTTGCAACGATTTTATACACACTTCCTATTAGACTTATTGGTCTAAAATCTCTGAGTTCCATAGCCCCTTTCTTTTTTGGAATTAGAGCTATGAAAGATGCATTGCAATATCTCACCATCTGGCCATTTTGATTGAAGTGATTCACGGTGCCAATGATGTCTGATTTGATGATCTCCCATGTACTTTGGAAGAAAGCCATTGTAAATCCATCTGGGCCAGGGGCCTTATCTGGAGCACATGCTTTGATGGCCGCTAGAATTTCCTCTTCTGTGAAATCTTTTTCCAGCTCAATTCTTTCATCTTCTGTGATATTTGTTAGACCCTCAAAATTAGCTGTAGGCCTCCAAGGTTCATTCTCAAAATAGAGTGTTTGATAGAATCCCACAATTTCCTCCCTGATCTGATCCTTCTCTTCGATCAAGTCATTACCAATCTTGAGTTTGTCAATGTTGTTTTTTCTTCTGTTGGAGTTAGCTATCTTCTGAAAGTATTTGGTGTTCTTGTCCCCTTCTTTAAGCCAGAGGCACATGGATTTCTGTCTCCATGAAATCTCTTCTGCCTGAGCTAATTTTTGGATGTCAGACTTTAGTGTTACGATTCTGGAAAGTTCTGCTGCTGTGAGTGTCCTGATTTATGCAGCCTGTTCTAATGCTAAAAGATCATTCAAAGCATTGGTTCTTTGTACTTCCACCTTACCAAAAACTTCTCTATTCCAGGTAGAGATGTCTTTCTTGAGCAACTTTAATTTTTGAGTCAGAACGAAGTCAGGATTGCCACTGACTGCATAGCTTTGCCACCACCCCCTTACTCTGTCAAGAAATCCCTCGGTCTGTAACCACATGTTCTCAAATTTGAAGTATGAGGGGTTAACCTCCCAGTCTCCACTTTCCAGCATTATAGGCTTATGATCTGAAATAACATTAGGAAGCACCATCTGAGTTAGCTTCCTGAAGGTGTCACTCCAGTCATTTGCTACGAGGAACCTGTCAATTCTGGAAGCCTGATGTATGTTCTCACCCCTGGTCCAAGTATAAGTAGCACCATGAAGTGGCAAATCAATAAGGCAAAGATCTTCAATTGTATCAGAGAAGTTTTTCATTGCCTTTGATCTTCTATTGCAATTGAGCCTTTCATGCTCGTATCTGCATACATTAAAATCACCCCCAATCACCCAATGATTATTCTATAGCCCTCGGATTGCTGCAAGTTCATCCCAAAATACCTTTCTTTCAGGATTTGTGTGTGGGCCATAGACCCCTGTAAAACACCACCTGAAGTTTTCATGGGCACTTTCTAACATACTGGAGATTGTATAGGATCCCTGATGAATGTCTATGCAATTCCAGTTTCTTTTATCCCATAAAATTACCACCCCGCCCCTGTTGTCAATAGCTTGTAGCTCTGCCCATCTAGATCCCATCAAATGTTGTGAAAGACAATCTGACCATTCATTGATTTTGGTCTCCTGAATACATACAATATCAGCTCTTCAACTTTGAATTAAAGACTTCAAAGCTAATTTGCTCGGACACGCCAATTTGGGCGCCGTACCCGTGTCGACACGACACTGACACGGGTAAGGGTGTGGGATCTGTGTCGGATTCGGTCAGACAATATCGGGTGCGTTGACCAAACAGAGAAGGTGTTAGTTTATAGATATGTATAGTGTAGTCTTGTCCCACATTGGAAGAGGAGTAATATCTCCTTGTAGTGTATAACTATAAATAGGGACCTCTTGTATTGTATTTATCATCTAATATCAATAATATATTTTCTCCCGTGCTTTCTCACATGGTATCAAAGCAATAGTGAGAAAAGATCGTTGTGCGTCATTCCAGCGTTAACCGGGAAGAAAGAACTTAGTTATCGTGTAAATTTTCCGGTGACCTAAGGCTTGTCTAAGTGAAAGTCATTTTCTGTCGGTGTTGTGCTAAAACCTATACCACCACGAGGTAGATCACCCTCCGACTATCAATCCCTGAAATTTTATCCGGCAGAAAAGCCGCCACGCTCCTCCACGCGCCGGCAACAACTTTTTTGGCGAGAGTTCCGGCCACTTTCCAGCCATTTTTTCGCGAAGCTTCTTCAGGACAGTGTGCTCTTCTCAAAATTCCGAGCCTACCCATCTAATTCAAATCAAATTCCGGCCACTTTTATATTTTCCGGCGTGAACAGTGACCTTTCTGGCCATTTTTTGAAAATATTTCTTCAGGACAGCTTGCTCGCAAAGGAATTCCGAGTCAAGATGTCTGCTTTACATACGAGTGACACTTGGGAGCTTGTTCCTCTTCCTGCAGGTAAGTCTACTGTTGGTTGTTGTTGGGTTTATGCAGTCAAAGTCGGCCCGGATGGCCAGGTTGATCGGCTTAAGGCTCGTCTTGTTGCAAAAGGATATACTCAGATTTTTGGGCTTGATTATAGTGATACTTTCTCTCCCGTGGCTAAAGTAGCATCTNNGCTTGGTTTGGTAAGTTCAGCACAATTATTCAGGAGTTCGGCATGACTCGTAGTGAGGCTGATCACTCTGTGTTTTATCGGCATTCTGCTCCTAATCTGTGTATTTATCTAGTGGTTTATGTTGATGATATTGTTATTACTGGTAATGATCAGGATGGTATTATTAATCTAAAGCAACATCTCTTTCAGCACTTCCAGACCAAGGATCTGGGCAGATTGAAGTATTTTCTATGTATTGAGGTCGCTCAGTCTAGCTCGGGTATTGTTAATGACCGTGTGCAAACCTTTTTGTCTCGGGCCCATCACTATCTAACTTTTTATATTTGATTTACTCTTATTTATTTGTCTCGGGCCCACCACTATCTAACTTTTAATATTTGATTTACTCTTATTTATACATTTCAATTGACCATAAAAGGACAAGTTTTTCTTTATCCCAAAAAACTATACGTGGAGCTTGCTTTGAAATCTTTAAGCTTTTGATTCTTTTGACTATGTAAAATAAGAGAACAGTAGCAAAAACACGAATAAAGAAGAAATTCACATTTAACAAGTTATAGGTAAGTACTCCACATAATTTAGAGATATATTTATTTTTATTTTTGAATTATTTTTAGCCGGATCCCCACACCCGTGTCGGTTCTAGGATCCGTATCCCCGAATCTTAAAATTTTCATCTTAAAGGATCCGACCTCTAGATCTGGCACCCGTGTCGGACACTCGTACCTGTGTCAGAGCAACTTAGCTTCAAAGTTCCCCTCTTTTCCCTTTCATTGAGCCCCCGTACATTCCAACTCAGAATTCATAATTTCATTCTGAATGGAGTTTGTGAATCCTGCCTCTTTCAATACTAGTGCTCCCTCTTTCTAAACTTTGTCCACCCTCATAATTAACCAAAAGTTTTAGCTTCTGTAGTTCTGCCTCTTTCTTTGACTTTTTCTTCTTTGTTGGTTTCCCTGATAATTTTTTCTGTTGTATTTGCAGTTGCCGTCTTTCCTCCATACGCAGAATTATGTCCAAAAACTCATGTTCGAATCCAGCCATGTTGACCCCGAAAGCTTTGCTAGCCTTCACCATCACCATTTTGGTCCATCTTGAAGTCTCGACCACAGAAGGGTTTTGTATAATTTGAGGAGTTGGCCCTTCCTCATGCCATGGGAGAGATAGAAAATCAGAAGGAGAAGAGAAGTCGTGCTGGAACCACGCTTCTTAGTAGTTTTCTCAACACTGCATCAGGGTCGGCTTCGTCATCTGCGTCAGAGATAGTAGAGAGAAGAGAGTTAGCTGGTGGAGGGACTCTAATATTTCTATTAGAGTTTATATCGCCATCTGCCGGTTCGGATATGTGCTCCTCTGATAATACACGGAACTAATTGGAGCAATGAGTAGTGTTAAATAGGCCCACCCTTTTCCAATAAGACTTGGTATTTTTCTTTTGGGCTTTATGCTTTGGGCCGACCATATAGTAGCTTTGATCCACATTGTGGCCCAGTTGATTAAAACCTAAGTTGGCTTTAACCGATGGATTAGAAGAAGCCACCTGCTCTCCCACGTGCCTACTCTCTGAAGCAGTAGGATTCACTTTTTGTTGGCTCGATGTACCAACCCCATCAGTCGACGGGGTCTTCTTTTCCGATAAGCCCAATGAGCTTTCGCCGGCATCACTTTTTCCGATTGGACTGAGCTTTACTAATTTATTTGGCAGAATAGTGATTTCATATTTCCAGTCACCAACCTCAATATTTACTTTCTCAGGTTGTTGGCCTACAGGATTCTTCACACAATTTCTAGCCCAGAGAAGGTGTGTTTTATATTTGATGTCCAGGTCTGTATCGACAAACCCACCGTAGAGATCTCCTATGGTGCGGAAAGTACTCAAGCACCATGCATGAAGAGGAATACTGAAGGCTTTAACCCAGTGTGGCTGATCATTCGTTAAGGTTGAACCAGTCGCCGGTGACCACCATTCCAAAGTTAAATGGCGACCGTTCCAGAACCAATCACCCGCTAGGATTCTCATTGCCTCCTGTCTTGAGGGGAACTCAAAGAGAAAGAGATTATGGTCCATGGGTGTAATTGTGAGTCCAGCCATTACTTTCCATCTAGAGGTGAACCATTTGTGAATAGTCTCCGATTTTGGGCTAAGATTAAAAGCATCATTGAATCTNGGGTGTAATTGTGAGTCCAGCCGTTACTTTCCATCTAGAGGTGAACCATTTGTGAATAGTCTCCGATTTTGGGCTAAGATTAAGAGCGTCATTGAATCTTCCAACTAGACTTCTGGAAAGTGGATGATTGTCATCTGTCCAAGATGAAGTTGGTGCAGAGTCTGGCCATTTCTGTATATCTGCAGCTTCTGAGTAGGTTTTTGTTTGAGGTACTGGGGCAGTCACAGTACACACTCGATTCCCCAAATGTCTGAAGATCCTTTCTGCAATCTCCTCCCAACCAGCTCCATATTTTGGTTCAGGGATAATAATGGCGGACTTCCGAGCACCCAGCCAAGTTTCCACTCTCAGGAATCGTCCATGAATGTTGTAGTTTTGATACACCCTGTAAAGATACATTTGTTGTTTCTTCCCCCATCTTCTGTATAAATCCCCTGACCCCTTTGATGCTTGATACAGTACTGAGCAAATCCATCGGAGGTTGCTCTCGTCCACCTTTATTGTGCTTGTAAAACGTCTGCTTCTTCTGTGATGGAGAACCATCTGACTCGGTCATCATTAATAGCCGCTACTTCAAAAGATTTAACACCTGTAATAAGGATTAACTTATCACCCATGTCAAAGAGAAGTTATCTAAAAAGGTTGAGGGCACGGTTCCCACCTGAGGAGGAATTCCATAAAATAATTATTAGGTGCATAACCCTGGTGGTTAACAGTTTTAAATGCTGGAATTGACACTATCTAGAAAAATGTTTTAGAAACAGTATTTAATGGCTTGAATGATGGCTACACAATTCAATTAAATAAATCTTCAGGGTGCTGTGCACAAAGCATGTAGGGATGCTTCAGCTAGAGCTCTGGAACTGTTGTTTTAACTCTAAAGTACATATGAGACTGCAGTTTATTTACTTTTAAGTTTTCTCTGATTGTTCTTTGTTAGACCTGCTGTTACTAGGGTCTATAACCGCAGAAAGAAGGGTGAAAATAAGGCTTAAATGTAATTTATTTATTTATTTATTATTATGTATTGTATTTGTAGTACTTACCTAGCAGTTAACTTGCAGTTCAGGCATTTATTTTGTGTTATATTATAGTAGGAAGAGGGGAAGACAGGCAGTTTATTCTGCAGTATTTTCTCTGGCAGATTTGGAGGTTAAGGTTCCTCAAAATACCTTGGTTGTTAGGTGTATTAATGTTCTAATTGCTGTTTGTTTCTCTGTAGAACTTATTCTATTTGTTGGTGGCAATAAAGAATAGTTGAAGTGTTGTTCTGTATGCAAATTCACTGATTACAGTTAGGAGAAATTCTGGTTTCCTAACATTCTTACTTTATGCAGGAAAAGGATTCAAGGATATCAGAATTAGAATCTGAGAATCGAAAAATGAAGGTTGAGCTTGAAGAATTTCGCATGGAGGCAACTCACTTGAAAAATCAACAAGCAACAATAAGAAGACTTGAAGAGCGTTGCCGTCAGTTAGAACAACAGGCCAGTATCTATATATACATATGTGCCACACATGCGTATGTTTGCTACTTGCATATTGACAGTAATTTTGTTGATTATTACTGCAGTCGCCCAGTTCACTACTTCGCTGTGCAATCCCTACCATGTGAATGGTTGCTTATATTTATTCTCTACTTTGTAAAAGTTCCACACAAGTAGGGATCACACGATTTGAACTATGCTGAGTGGATCAGTGGAACCACTGTTAGCTTCTACTTAAAATTCACTCAGAGAGAAAAAAAAAAGGGCAGCCCGGTGCACTAGCTCCCGCTATGCGCGGGGTTCGAGGAAGAGCCGGACCACAAGGGTCTATCGTACGCAGCCTTACCCTGTATTTTTGCAAGAGACTGTTTCCACGGCTCGAACCCGTGACTTTCTGGTCACATGGCAGCAACTTTACCAGTTACACCAAGGCTCCCCTTCACTCAGAAAGAGAGGAAAAAAAAAAAAAAAANACCCAGTTCACTACTTCGATGTGCAATCCCTACCATGTGAATTGTTGCTTATATTTATTCTCTACTTTGTAAAAGTTCCACACAAGTAGAGATGACACGATTTGAACTATGCTGAGTGGATCAGTGGAACCACCGTTAGCTTCTACTTAAAATTCACTCTGAGAGAGAGGAAAAGAAAAAGAAAAGAAAAGAAAGAGGAAGCCCAAGCTTTGTGGCTTTGCTAGCTTTCACTTTTCAAACCCACAAATCTTCTCAAGTAGCTCCACGTTTCGCTAGGATTCAACTCTAGAAAGGCTTATCCCCACACAAAAATAAATAAATAAATAAATAAAACCTAGAGAAAGGCCTTTTATTCTGTTTCAAAATTTGACCTGCTGATAGTACCAAATATCCATCATTGGCATCTGAAACTAGTCAGAGTCCCAAATTTGGTGTGTCTAATGGAGAAATTCAGTTGCTTTCTAATAATGGTCACAAGAGTAGTGATGATGGTGCTGCAGCACTTGGGAAATTGAATACAGTTAGACGAGAAGCCCAGGAGTCTTTCTTGAAGATGGTTTACTGGGGCTTGTGGCAAGTGGCCTTGAAGGGGGAGATGAAGTGGTTTTGCAAGCAAGTTAGAGTGTAACAGAGAGACAGGTTTTGGCAAAGTTAATGTGTGAGAGACTGGAGGTAACGAGAGACATGCAGCTGAGACATAAATGGAGTCTGCTAGGTTTCGTGAATTGATTGGAGAAACTAGTCAGTTCATTCCACCATATAAATATCTAATAATGAAACATAGAGGCAGCTCAATAAGCTCATTAACCATCGAGTTTAACTTGAGCTAAGGGGACAAAAATAAGCTGGCTAAGCCTGAGTAAGAGTTAGTGTGGCTTCTCAGCACCCTTTGAGAGTGGTATTCAAGGTAAAGCTAAGAATATGATTTCTGCTTAATTTTCATGCACATTACTTACCTGTTTTTAATATTGTAATAATTCACATTACTTTTCCTCTTCCTTTTCCTTTCTTGTATTTTTGGGTCTTTTTCCCATAGGGTGGGGAGTGTGGTTTGAGTTAGAATTTTGCACTTTCCGATGTTGGACTTTCTCTATAGTGCTGGCTTATAAAGAAAAGCACATCTTAGTACCATCTGATGTTGTGAATCTGAGTACATAGCGGCCAGCTTCATTTGGCTTGATCCTTAATATGTCCTTTTTGTGGTTCAGATGGAGGAGAAAGTCAAGGAAGTTGTAGAAATTAAGCAACGCAGTTTGGCAGAAGAGAACCAGAAAACTCTTGAGGTTTTAAAAGAAAGGTGTTACATTTAGCGTCACATCTATCTTTGAATAAGTATTTGGTGTCATATCTTTCCTTCTGGAATAGGAATATCATGATTTGCAGTCTTCTATTTGATGCAGGGAACAACTATTGCAGGATCAATTACGGCAAGCACAAGAAAGTGTTTCGACTATGCAAAAGTTGCATGAACTTGCACAGAGCCAGTTGTTTGAAGTCCATGCACAATCAGGTGTTATATTCATCTAGCCATAAATCTGTTTATTTCTTTGATTTGTATTATGCTAATCTGAAAGTGTGCAGCTCTTTTTTCTTGTCAAAGTTCGCTTTCAGGATTTGGATTTTCTGCTCTTTTTTTTTCTTTTCGTTTTATTGGCTAAATATATGCCTTAATAAATAGTTGGACTAACTCATTTGTACTCAAATAGAGGGAGAGAGGGCAGCAAAGCAATCAGAAGTCAGCTTGTTAATGGATGAAGTTGAACGGGCTCAGACTCGCCTTCTTAGTCTTGAAAGAGAAAAGGTAATAGGATCTAACTATCTTTGGTTTCAGTTTTTCTTCTTTTTGTGGTATATTGCTTCACTTTAAATTCCATATCAAGCATTTTAGCTGTGGACACTTTTCCACTCTGTTTCGACGGAGACTCAGTCAGCTCAACCATAAGATCTTACGGCAGAATCGCAGTGAATGCTTTCTTTTTGGATTGATTAATAATATTATGCCTTGGCTTATTCAGGGATTGTTGCGCTCACAGTTACAGACGGCAAATGAAGATAATGATCACAAGAACAGGTTAAGTTCATTGTCTTAACAAATTTGTTTTATCTCCTTCAGCCATATATGTATGTGACTGCAAATATATATCTTGCGAAAACCATCTCCCGACAAGCTTTGACATCCAGTTGATCAATCTGTGGCTGGTGAACGATGTTCTTAGCTTGTTACACTGGTTCTGAGAAAGTTTATTACTCTTGAAAATTAAAATTGTCAAAAGCTCTGTTTTACATATCTGACTAGAGCAATGCAGTTTAACAAGAGGAAGACGAAGTGTGAGAGTTTGTATGGCATACTCTAGAGCAAACTAGGTTAGTCAAGAATAGTGTATAAAAGTGTAATTACAGCAATCAAGTCACACTTAAACCTTTTAATATATTAACGTGTGAACTATGATCTATGACAAACATTTATATAGTACATCTTGTTTCTCTATAGTTCTTTTTTCTTCCAAAACATGTCTATCATTGGTAGACAGGTTAAAGTAACTGGTCGAATGTCTTCACCGCTTCACTTTCAGCGATAATTTGGACGCAAATAGTGCTCTTGAGACTTCTCTGATTGCCAAGGAGAAGTTCATTTCTGAGCTAAATACAGAACTTCATAATTTGGAGAACACCTTATCAAATGAGCGAGAACAGCACATGAATGAGATAAAGAAGTTGAATGCGCTGCTTAATGAAAAGGTATGTTCCTTTGGTGCTAGTGTAATAGTTGTCAACTAAAAATGTACTGAGGATATAGAAAAATTCCAACTCTTCTTTGACCATAGTGTTACCTTCCTCACTGGTTTGCTTTTCTTTGACCATAGTGTTACCTTCCTCACTGGTTTGCTTGTATGTATCAGTACAAAATGCTCCAACTGACTTCCTAATGTATCGGAACATGTTCATAGGTTTATACCAATTTTTGTGGGACCAATTTGAATAATGTTCCTACTTTCCACATTGGGGAATAGGATAGACGTTCATTATGTCTGTGAGAAAGTACGGGAGAAAATATGTTATTGATATTGGATGATAAATACAATACAAGAGGTCCCTATTTATAGCTATACACTACAAGGAGATATTACTCCTCTTCCAATGTGGGACAAGACTACACTATACATATCTGTAAACTAACACTCCCCCTCAAGCCGGTGCATACACATCATATGTACCGAGCTTGTTACACATGTAGCTAATACGAGAGACTTAAGTGAAAATATCTGCTAGTTGATCATTCGACTTTACAAACATTGTAACAATATCTCCTGAAAGTATTTTTTCTCTGACAAAGTGACAGTCGATCTCAATATGTTTAGTCCTCTCATGGAACACCGGATTTGACGCAATATGAAGAGCAACTTGGTTATCGCACACTAGTTCCATCTTGCTGATTTCTCCGAACTTTAACTCCTTGAGTAACTGCTTGACCCAAACTAACTTACACGTCGCCATAGCCATGGCCTGATATTCGGCTTCGGCGCTAGATCGAGCAACTACATTCTGTTTCTTGCTTTTCCACGAGACCAAGTTACCTCCTACTAGAACACAATAACCAGACGTAGAACGTCTATCAAAAGGTGATCCTGCCCTATCAACATCTGTGTACCCAATAATCTGCTCGTGGCCTTGATCCTCGAATAGTAATCCTTTGCCTGGAGCTGACTTTATATACCGAAGAATGCGAACAACTGCATCCCAGTGACTATCACAGGGAGAATCCATAAACTGACTTACAACACTCACCAGAAAAAAAATATCAGGTTTAGTCACTGTGAGGTAATTCAATTTGCCAACCAACCTCCTATATCTCGTAGGGTCTCTAAGCGGCTCCCCCTGTCCAGGCAGAAGCTTAGCATTCGGATCCATAGGAGAGTCAATAGGTCTGCAACCCATCATTCCAGTCTCCTCAAGAATGTCTAAGGCATACTTCCGCTGTGAAATAACAATACCTGAGCTAGACTGAGCGACCTCAATACCTAGAAAATACTTCAATCTGCCCAGATCCTTAGTATGGAAGTGTTGAAAGAGATGTTGCTTCAGATTAGTAATACCATCCTGGTCATTGCTAGTAATAATAATATCATCAACATAAACCACTAGATAAATACACAAATTAGGAGCAGAATGCCGATAAAACACAGAGTGATCAGCCTCACTATGAGTCATGCCGTACTCCTGAATAATTATGCTGAACTTACCAAACCAAGCTCGAGGGGACTGTTTCAAACCATATAGTGACCTGCACAATCTGCACACAACCATTAAACTCCCCCTGAGCAAGAAAACCAGGTGGTTGCTCCATATAAACTTCTTCCTCAAGATCACCGTGGAGAAAAACATTCTTAATGTCTAACTGATAAAGAGGCCAATGACATACAACAGTCATGGACAAAAAGAGACGAATAGATGCTACTTTAGCCACGGGAGAGAAAGTATCACTATAATCAAGCCCAAAAATCTGAGTATATCCTTTTGCAACAAGACGAGCGTTAAGCCGATCAACCTGGCCATCCGGGCCGACTTTGACTGCGTAAACCCAACGGCAACCAACAATAGACTTACATGTAGGAAGAGGAACAAGCTCCCAAGTGCCACTCACATGTAAAGCAGACATCTCGTCAAGCATAGCATGTCGCCATCCTGGATGAGATAATGCCTCACCTGTAGACTTAGGGATAGAAACAGTGGACAAAGAAGATATAAAAGCATAATGAGGTGACGACAGGCGATGATAACTTAAACCGACATAGTGGGGATTAGGATTAAGTATGGATCGTACACCTTTACGGAGTGCAATTAGTTGACTAAGAGGATACAAGTCCGCAGTAGGTGCAGAATCTGATGCGGGGCGTGAATCACCTGGGCCTGATGCTGGATGTGGACGACGATGATAAGTCAAGTGTGGTGGAGCTGCAGAAGGTTGAACTGGATTATGTGGAGGAACTGGAGCTCTAGGTGGTGGAGCTACAACTGGAGCTGTAGGTGGTGGAACTGGAGCTATAGGTGGTGGAGTTAGAGTGATTGAATCTCCAAAAGATGAAACTGGTAGTACCTCAGAAATATATAAGTGATGACCTGAACCTGTGAAGTATGATTGGGTTTCAAAGAAGGTAACATCAGCGGACATAAGGTACCGCTGAAGGTCAGGAGAGTAGCATCGATACCCCTTTTGTGTTCTTGAAAAACCCAGAAATACGCACATAAGAGCACGGGGAGCTACCTTATCTGTTCCTGGAGTAAGGTTATGGACAAAACAAGTGCTTCCAGAGATACGAGGTGGAAGAGAGAACAAAGTTAAGTGGGGAAACATGACAGAGAATGGAACTTGGTTCTGGATAGCTGAAGATGGCATGCGATTAATAAGATAGCAAAATGTAAGAATTGCATCCCCCCAAAAACGCAACGGAGCATGAGATTGTATGAGTAGGGTACGAGCAGTTTCAATAAGATGTCTATTCTTTCTTTCAGCTACCCCATTTTGTTGAGATGTGTACGGACAAGATGTTTGATGAATAATCCCATGAGATTTCATAAATTGCTTAAATGGGGAAGACAAATACTCTCAGGCATTATCACTACGAAATGTGCGAATAGATACCCCAAATTGATTTTGAATTTCAGCGTGGAAGGTCTGGAAAATAGAAAACAGCTCAGATCGATTTTTTATCAAAAATATCCAAGTGCACCTGGAATAATCATCAATGACACTGACAAAGTAGCGGAATCCCAAGGTGGAACTGACCCGACTAGGACCCCAAACATCTTAATGGACTAAAGTAAAAGGTGACTGCTCGATTATCAAGATGCCGAGAGAAATGGGAGCGAGTATGCTTACCGAGCTGACATGACTCACACTCTAGAGCTGACAAGTGAGATAAACCAGATACCATTTTCTGAAGTTTTGACAAACTGGGATGTCCCAACCGTTTATGTAATAAATCTGGTGAATCAGTAACAGGACAAGTTGTAGAAGGAAGACAAGATGTGAGTCCATGTGATTTAGCAAGGATAAGGTAATAAAGTCCGTTTGATTCACGCCCGGTACCAATGATCCGCCCCGTACTGCGTTCCTGTATAAAAACATGGTCATCAAGAAATAAAATAGCGCATTTAAGTGATTTGGCTAAGCAACTAACAACTATGAGATTAAAAGGACTATTGGGAACATAAAGGACTGAATCTAAAGGTAAGGAAGGAAGTGGACTTGCTTGACCTATTGCAGTTGCCTTGGTTTGAGACCCATTGGCCATTGTGACTTTTGGAAGAGATTGAAAATACGGAATAGTAGTGAAAAAAGATTTGTTACCAGAAATATGATCTGATGCACCTGAATCAATGACCCAAGACTCAGAGGATGAAGATTGAGAGAAACAAGTCACGCTATTACCTGTTTGAACAACAAAAGCTATCTCAGAAGATGTCTGCTTACATGCTTTGTACTGAAGGAACTCAATATAATCTGCTAAAGAAATCATCCGACTATTCAAAGTATCGGTTCCCATGTCGCTACGAGAAGTCTGCTTACATGTTTTGTACTGAATGAACTCAATATAATCTACTAAAGAAACCATCCGACTATTCAAAGTATCGGTTCCCATGTCGCTACAATTTGTGGTAGTAGGGTTAACTTGAAATAGTAGAAATAAGTAACTCCTGTGAGAAAACTGAAGAAATAGCTTGAAAAACACTGTTTTACAGCAGGAAAGCAGAACACTGTTCTGCGCTGGAAACATTGTAGCTCGCCGGAATCTACTGTAGCTGACGGAAGGATAAGGTAATAAGGTAATCTACTGTTCAACTGGAACTTTTTCAAAATCTGTCCGGAACAGTGCTCATGCGCCGGCGCGTGGGTCAGATCTCGCCGGAATTTTTTTTTCTTTCCCAGGCGCGTGAGGGCGCGTGGACGTGTGTTTTCCAGTGGGGTTATTTGGGGTTTGGTCGCCGGAGCCTGAGGAGTCTTGTGGTAATGTTGGTTTTTGCACAACACCAACAGAAAGTGATTTGCTTACGGACAACCTTCTAAGTCGCCGGAAAATTGCACGGCGAAGAGGTCTTTCTTCCCGGAAGTCGCTGGAATGATGCACAGCGACGGGTTTCTCACTAATGCTCTGATACCATGTGAGAAAGCACGGGAGAAAATATGTTATTGATATTGGATGATAAATACAATACAAGAGGTTCCTACTTATAGCTATACACTACAAGGAGATATTACTCCTCTTCCAATGTAGGACAAGACTACACTATACATATCTGTAAACTAACAATGTCAATATTTGTATATTGTGTAAAACTTTTTTCCTTTATGTTTTATCCCCTCTGGTCTATTTTTATGTTAATAATTTAGGTGCTCTGAGATATACTTCACATTTCTTGCATAAAGTACTAGTACCAGTCCTAGGTATTTATGCCTCTCAAATTGAATCAGCTCCTCTAAGAGCACTTATGCTGAGTTTCACTCAGAAGGCTCAGGGGTTCAACTTTGATAAGTTGCTGCAACTATTCTATTATATATATTATAATAGGCATCAAGTTGTGTTGTTGGTCAATCTCTCTTTTAAGGCCTTTTTTTCTCATTTCCCCCAATTAATTCATGCTTTTGAATGTACCCTAGGAAGTTGCTCTTGAGGAACTGAAGAAGGAACTTCAAGCAAGGCCAACAACAAAGTTGATTGATGATTTGAGGAAGAAAGTTAAAATCTTACAGGTTATTCTTACTCAATATGCTTCAGTTACTCGATTTTGTGTAGGTTTTACAAGTCCTTTTAATTTTTGGTTTTCGTTGAACTTCTGACTTCTCAAGATAGCCTAAGAAATCTCTAAACTCGTTTCTCAACATGTTAAGATATTGACTGCTTTTCTCTTTTCTTCATTTTCCTTTTTCTTCACTGTGTTACATGACTACATGCCTACATCAATTTGCTCCACTATATCCAGCTTCATTTGCTTCTATTCATCTTCGAGTTTGGAACTGGGTCTCTCCATGATTCACTACCTAGCTCAAGAATGTCATTGCTACATTCTCCACTGTAATCCTTTTGTTGCTTTGAGTAGGCAGTGGGTTACAATACAATTGAGGCTGAAGACTGGGAAGTTGCTACCAGTGGAGAAGAAATGAGCAAACTTGAGTCCTTACTTCTTGATAAGAATCGGAAAATGGAGCATGAGCTGACACAGTTAAAGGTAACTTGAGTAGTGATTATGCCCCAATTATATGTTTGATTGTGACGAATAATTATGGGAAAAATCTGAATGTATTTAAATGGTAATGCTCTCAGAGATAAATTATGTTTATTTGATTATCATATAGAACTTTATATCTGAGGAGTCAATTTATTTTTAAAAAAGAACCTTTATATCTGAGTTCAGTATTGATACACTTGAACTACTTCGTGATGATCAATCATGAATCATGTTGTTTTAACTTCTTTCTATGGTTTCAGTTCCAACTTTCTGAAAGGACGTCTTCATTGGAATCTTCTGAAGCCAAGATTGTAGAATTAACTGCAAAGCTTAATGAACAACAACGATTAGTACAGAAGTTAGAGGATGATATTCTAAAGGTTTGTGCAGTTTTCTCCCCTCCCATTCTCCCAAACCCAGGTTTGTTGGATGTAAATACTGCATTATATATTGTGGTAGACATAATAGTGTTACTTTTTGTCACGACCCAATTTCACCTATAAGTCGTGATGGCGCCCAACACTACAGCTAGGCAAGCCAACTAATAAGTCAAACGTACATTGGTTAAACTTTTATTCCAAGAAAATAATAAAATACCAATTTCTACCAATGTGTGTGTGCCAAGACCCCCAGTGTCACAAGTGCATGAGCATCTAGTAGATTATACAAAACTCCAAATACTGTCTGAAATGAAATAGACAGAATATAAATATCAGAAGAGACACTAGTAGCTGCAGAACGGCTCAGAAAGGCAGCTCACCACTATGCCTCGGGATGACGTGGGTATGTAATGATAGGTCCTCCACCAGTACTTGTCTCAGATCTGTACAAAAAGTGCAGCAAGTGTAGTATGAGTACGTAAACAACGTGTACCCAGTAAGTATCAAGCCTAATCTCGAAGTGGTAGAGACGAGATGGCCGACTTTGACACTCACTATGGGTCAATAATAATTGAAATAAAATTAGGATATTCAAATCAGCATGATTTACAGAATTTACAA